TATATATATATATATATTTACACATACACATATATGATATAGGATGGTTAAATTTCCATTACTTTTGAAACTGCGGCTATTTTTCAATTACCAATTGTAAATCTGGATATTTCTGACTTTTTGCATGATAAAGTACAAAAGAATATTTCCAGATCAAGTATTTTCATAAATCAGCAGTTTGTCGAGTTTAAATTGCGCAAACCTAAATTAATCAAATTTATAAATTTTAAAACAGGTCGTCAAACCCAAATTATATGTTGAAATATTAAAGAAAATTCACTATCCGTGCTAGGTATTTGAAAATGTCAAATTGATTAATTTTAGGAGTACTATTTTTCACTAAGAATTTTGTTCAAAATTTTCAGGCTATAATAGGTTACATTCAAATAATTGACGCTAGGTTGCAAAGAGTAACTATGAATAATACTGATTCTTCCTTTTGGACTATCAAAATCAATTTTGGACAATTAATTTGAATAGAAGGGAATTAAATAATGGGTTTTTGTTTGATTTTGAATATCATCGGTTTTGTCACACTTCATAAAACAATGATGTCATTATCATATTTGTTCTTGACGGATGGAGTTGCTCAATATTTATACCAATAAAAGTTATTTGGTAAAATAATTGAGCTACATATAAACTAGCCCGAATACCATTATCATTAAAAAATATTTGTAATCCCATTTGTTGGAGGACATGCATTGCACTTGGAAAGGAAGATACAAATCACGATTCAACTGAGCTATACATTGCCTGTCTAGAACAAAGAACCCACAAAATATTATAATCAATTAAATGGAAAAACTAATGGAGTTCTGGTTCCTGAGCAAGTAAAAAAGGGCAGCCAACATCATCTTTAGATATATTGCGGCTTCTTAAAGCCCCAGTTTTCAGCAAATACAACATAAGGAAGACAATATATTTATATAAAAAGAATCATTTCCAGAAAAGAAAAAAGTACATCTGAGCCTTTTCTTCTCATGATTGACAACTAAAGACATCTTCTGGAAATACATCAAGTAGACTGTAGACGTCCCCACATCTTTCTGTCTCTGATCTTCATTACAATGTTTGATAAACGAATCCTTGTATACAACGAAATCATGTTTATTGCCAAAATTGTCGAGAACTGGCTATCCCATCTTCCAATATGCCCCTAATTGCTTCTCTGGTGGAAAAAAATGGGGCGTGTGTAAACCATGGATAATGTACAAAATCCGAACTCCGTCTGGCTACCAAAAATACAGGGCTGGAGAGGAGCAAAAGACTAGCTTTTCACAAAAAACCACTCGTCATTATACTCTTGCCGTGAAGATTAAAGAAGCTTGCTGGTTCGTCGTCTTGATGGCCCTCCAGGAAATAGCTTCATGATCCATCCCAAGACCCGCTCCACCACCTGATCCAAATGACATGCAAAAAAAGAAACAAAAAAGGAAAAATTACAGCAACCACCAAACTAATCATACTGGAAATTATCAGCTTGGCGATATGCACCAACATGCAAGATTAACAGCCTGGTGCCAGATTGGATAGCAACTTGACTCCAGGAGAAAGAGTCAAAGTTCAAACTCAAGTTTTTCTTAGCTTGCCATAATCAATGTAGTTTACCGGTTAACACAGATGAATTTAAAAAAGGAATCCTAGAGCATAAAGGCCTTGTCATTTATTCATCTCACTGAAGCTTGAAGTTCCCTTTGCAAAGAAAGGTAAGAGCAGAAGTGCAGAACTACTAAAATTGCAAGATAGAAAGGCAACAAAACATCTTTACAAGGCTTGTGAAGCACACAAAAGCAGTATTTAGAAGTCATATCAGTAAAAGTCTTACAAAGCTTACCTCATCTCCTTCATCAGCATACGCCATATTGTCATGTACAGATACTGCATCTGGTTGCCTTGCTTGGCTGTTATCATTTGCCATGCTTTGAGCTGTTAAAAGCTCCAGTCTTTGAGTTTGAGCTTCAAGCTTTCGAGTTAAGTCCTTGTTCAACTCCTTTTAACCCAAAAGGAACAGAAGGAAAATCCCCCAAGAATATTATAATGAGAAACAAAATTATTAGCATACACCTTTAAACTAGCGATGAACCTCAAGAAAATTAATGCGAGACTTCTAACACAAACACTACATGAAACTCGCCAGATATTAAAAAGAATGTCTGAGCATGTTGGAGGGGATGAGTTTTTAGAAATTAGAAGTCCATATATGACCAAAGAAATATGCATGTTGTTTACTCACAGATAACAAAGGGGAAAAGAAAGGAATCAAAAAGTTCAGGTAGAAAGAAAAGGAACAAGCAGAGAATGAGATTGCCGTCTGGCACATCGGATCAAGTTACCTTCAATTTCGAGCTCTGAGAAGATTCGACTGACAGGGCTTTTGTCAATTCGTCTTTCTCCAAGGCTAACTGTAATCATTCCAAGTAGTGCAATTTTTAGTTATTTGATAGTCAAGAACGCCTGATTTTATTTGGAGCAAAGAAGATAGGACTAAATTAGAGGGTGTAGAAAATGATCAGTCTCAAGGATATCATGCTACCTCAGAAATAAATGTATTAATGTTTTGGATCATCCTAATCTGATCTGGAGGAATGGCCAGTGACAAACTTTCAAGACTAAGCTGCCCAAAATCAGGCAGAGAAGAGAAGGCGGGGCCATCAGCACCACCAACCAAATTAGGATCATTTATGGTACTACTTGCGATAGTATCTTCACCTGAATGGACACAATTTGAAATCTATGATATATAAAAAGCAATTCAATGATAAAAAGTGGCCTTCAAAAGATATGAGGCAGTAATTTGAGAAATTTGAAATACATACAGAGATCCTCTGTAGAAGTTGATACATCTATTTTTGCCGGCATACTCCTGCTAGGATCAACTGACTTGCCATTAGCAGAAGCTTTTAGGAATTTGGACTGCAAAAGCTTCTTTTCTGTTGGGAAGAAGAATCGGGAAGAGAAAGGAATCAAGCATATGATGGAGAAAAGAGACTGCCTTACAACACTAAGCATATTAAAGAGAAATTAGGAAAAGGTAGGAAGGATATTGACAACTCAAGATCACTTCAAGAGTCGCAAAAGATTATAATAAAAATAGTTTAGAAATAAGAACTCTTGCAGCATTTTGCCCTACTTGGAAGTGACAGAGCCATAAAGCTCTAAATTTTGTAAGGTTCAAGTCTCAGATCGTTCATCAGAGAAATACAGCAATGAAATAGGAAAGTTTGTTACAAAAGGGAGCAAAAAGGATGACAGATCAATCATTTCCTGTGGAAAGGCACCATCTGGATGCAAAAAGAATTCGAATAAAAGACAAAATTAATCACAATGACGGAGCAGAGGAATCATTTTAACTCCAGCATGATGAAATTATCTACAGATAAACGAAGTGCTCGTGTGACGACCCAAAGGGTCATCACCGTAATTCTTCCTTGTTCCGTGCTTCCGAGGCCTTGAA